TCATAAATGGAAAAAAACTATCAATTTGATGGCTGTTACCATCAAGATAGGTGGACAGACTTTTTGGGATTCATTATCTCTTGTACTGGAGTAACACAAAAAAACACAATTCTGTAACTTCTTCATAAATTTGATATTTCTAATAAATTACAAGGATGCCTTTTTGATACAATTTCTGTAAATACTAGTAACAAAAAAGGTGTCTGAACTAGGTTAGCAACAGAGCTTGACAAACCTTTACTTCTCCTAGCATGCAGACATCACATTTATGAAAAGTATATTGTTCTACGCTGTAACATTTATCAGAGCAGTAAAGTAACTCACCCTGATAATTCTTTGTTTAAGAAGCTCAAAGATGATTGATGGATTTCAATTAATCAAAATATTATAGTGTCAAAGAAAGTAAAAATTAATGATATTTATGATATCTGGCTGCAGTAACAGTTTAAGCCTTATTTCTTCTCAAAACATTATCAAGACAAAAGCAATACAGAAGGTAATTGAGTTTAATACTTTATTTAAAAAAATAAAAACTCTAGTAATGTAGTGTTTTGTATTTAAATAGTGTTATTTAGGATGTGTGCAGGTCTAATTATTTGGAGTTAGCAGAATTGACGACAATGGTAATAAACATGAACAGACTAAGAAAATCTGGGGTTGTACATCATACTAGATTTATGATAAAAAGAATATACTTTCTGAAAAATCTCCTTCTAGACAGTATTCCCAGAATGACTGATTTTGAGAAAAATGAAATAAAATATATGGCATTCTAATTATATCTAAAAGATTTGGCATTCACAGCTGCATTTAACATTGAGTGGTTTATAGGGGCTAAAATTCCTGTAATTGCTCCATATCAGGTTCTATCATTAGGTTTTACAAATTTTGAAATTTCAGTGAGATAAAACTAGTTCAAGTAAACATTTTTTATGTTTGTTATGTTGTTTTTGTTAAAAATCTAAATTTATTTCACATGTTAATTAAATTTAAAAATATACTAAATTATTCCTCAGTAGAAATTTATCACAATGAAAAGAAAAGAAAAGTATCTTTCTTGTATCGAACAAATGTAAGAGCAGAAGGTCAATAAATAAAACTGATTATCAAAAGTAGGGATGGCAATCCCAGGATCCCGGAATCCTGGGATTCCATACAAATTGTTTATCCTGAAATTCCTGGAGTCTGTTTAGGAAAATTAGTCTTATTAATTAGTATATATAGTATAATATTAAAACTTACATAGTATTAAAAAATAGATGAAATTTTAGCGCTTGCTGACAGGAAGATCAAAAACTATTAACGTAATTTTTTTGATCTTCCCATCAGCAAAATCTCAAAATTTTTGATTAAATTTTGTTTTGAACTTTCTAATTCATTATAATTCCAAATGTGTGTGTAATTTTAATTCCATTTTTATGTCCACTCAATTTAATTATAAATGTGTGCATGATTTTAAAAAAAAAATTTAACACTAGCTTTATTAATAAAATTATCAAAATATGGTTTATTAAATTACAAAAGTTTACTTAACATCCGTTTAAATTAATGAAGTTATCAAAATACATAAGGTTTATTAAATAAACTTTAGTTATCGTTATTTAAAGTAGAAATTGTTTTCTGATGAGGAAGATTATATTTGAGATTCAAATGATTCTATTAATGAAACATTTGAAGTTAAAATTAAGCACCAGATTATTGTACCTGTTATAACAAAAGTCAGAAAAATTGTAAAAATGTAAAAATGTCCCCAAACAAAAATGAAAATTATTTACAAAAGTACATAAAAATTGTGTTTGGAAAGGTCATACATTTATTCATGGATTGCAAAACCAGATCAATGATTCAATTAAGATGAACGAAAAAGAGTGTAGAATAATATCTGATATAGTAGTACTTTTGAATCTCAATAAAACAACTGTGGTAGCACTTCGTTGATGAGACACAATTTTAATTTGCATTAAAGTTCATGTTGACAAAAAAAAATTGGAAATTAGAAAATAACTGTATGATTTGAGTCACTGTATTAAAGAGGAGAACATCATTAAGGAGCTTAGTATATCTTCATGGCCAGGTTACTTAATAAAATATCCTCAAAAATCTTGTATTAAATACAAGTACCCAAAATAAAAAAATGATGATAAACCTGATAAAATGTTTAAAATTGGCAGATAAAATAACAGCAGCAGACTTGAGCAGGCTTGGTCAGGAAGGCATGCGATCGCAGGCCATTATATGACAACGCAAATAATACTTTATTTTGACAATTTGAAAACGGTTTTTAACATTTTAAAAATGCGCAAATATTAATATTTTTGAAACTTTCATCTTTACTAGCGTTTTTATATTTAATTAATTAGCAAAAGGCTTTTAAATAAAGTAGCAGTTACTGTTAACATTTTAATTAAAAGTATAGATAAAAGTTGTATAAATTTTTATTTATATTATTTAAATATATACAAAACTATATAATGAATAAATAAAATAATATATAAGATTTTTTTATAATTAATCTTATTTATTTTTTGATTATTTAAATTTTATGAGCAACAACTTTAAACAACGATTGTCTCATTAATAAACTTTATTTAAGAATCATTTAAGTTAATACACTCGAAAAGATTTTGTTGAGAAGAAAAAGACAAACTTTTGAAAGTTAATATACTCAAAATATAACAATTTTTTTTTGCAAGAATGTAAGAAAAAAAATATATCAATATAAAAATTTTTATAATAATTTTTTTTTCTTTAGTCTTTAAATAAAAAAATTATCATTTAAAGTTAATAAATTAAATTATTAACAAATTAAATTAAACTATTAATTAAAGGAATAGTTTTGTTCATTATTTTTCATTTTTATCTTCATTTTTTCTCATTTGCTTTCTGATATTGGATTTCTGACAAAAGAAACTATTTAATTATTTTTCTTTTGTTTACATTACTTTTTTGTTATATTTTAAATGTGCATATTTATTTAAAAATTGTTGGAAGTTGTTACTTTATTTACAAGGATTTTAATCTATATAATAAAGAAAAAACATGTGTTTTTTTTGTTCGTAAGTCAGTTGTCATTTTAGTGAAACGCGTTTCCCCCCTTCCCCTTCCCAAAAATAATAATAATAAGCGTTATTAAAAAAAGTTTCCTCAATAAGTTTAATCGTTTTTTTTTTTAAATACCACTACTGCGCAATGATGTTTCTTATAAAAACAAAAGTGTTTATTTACATTTTTTTGTCAATTAGTACTATTTATTTTTTATTTTTTACTATAATATAATTTTATATGGTGCGGTAACAAAGCAGACAAGTCACTACTAGTTTTACATTATAAAAACATAAGTAAAGATTTAAAGTTATTTATTTCAAATGTAATTATAAAGGAATTTGAATAATCTTATTGTTTATTATTTATTTCAGTTAAGTTTTGTTTTGTCTTTTTTGATTTTTGTTTTTGTTATTTATAACTAAGCTATTTTTATTTTATTTTTCCATATTTTTTTAAGAAGATTTTTTTTCTTTTTTTAGAATAAGTTTGTTTTTTTAGTTTCTTTATAACTAAGTTAATAAGTTTTTTCAGCGTTTTATCAAAATGTTAAAACCGTGGTCAAATCGTCAAAATAATATGGTAGTGGTGTAGTGGTAAAACACTTGCTTCATTAGCGAGAGGTTCCGAGTTCAATCCCCAACACGTCCCTGGTAGTACCGCGCTCAACTTGTTTCTCCGCGCAGCAGCCTTGTTTGTCAAGGTTCGTGTTTCGGAGTTATAGAGTTGAGAGAGGGTTACAACCACTATTAAGTAGCCTCCTCGTCTGTAGTGGCCTTCTCGGCCTTGAGGAGGTGAATAACAAAAAAAAAGAAAATATATATATATTATTTGCGTGGTCATATAAAGCTGTGAAGTCGCACGCCTTCCTGACCAAACCTGCTTGAATAGTTATAGTTGTGCTCAGTTTAACTAAGCTTTTTCAAGCATTGAATGTGATAATCATCTCAAAATAATTAGTGAACAATTAAATGAAGTTATGGAAAAAAGAATTGGCAGCAATACAAACACAACCTAAAAAGGTAGAGAATGTAATCTTTAAGGTTCAAAAATAAATGTTGTGATTTGAAAATGCTAGATCAAGATGTGATCACCTTTATAAAACCTATAACTATATTAACTATATTTTATGTTCAAAGAATCAAATACAATTAAGCAATGAAATGATCAATGCTTTGATTTTTTAGGGTGGTACTTTCAAAAATAAATATAACTCATGTATATTTATATTATTTTTAGTTATTATTTTTATTTATACTGTGTTATCATTTTAAGGTATTGTTTTATAATTTAAATTACTTAGGTTCTTTAATGAATGAAGTATTTTAGCTATAATAACATTAAATTAATCATTTTCAAGTGTTTGATGAGTACTTAAAAAGTCAGTTCTTCTTATGCTTCACTTTCTACAATTACGTTTTTTTCTATTCTTAATCTCAGGATTTCCTTGGGACAAATTTCTCAATCCCGAAATCCCAAAATTGAAAATGTCCAGGGTTTTTGCCATCCCTAATCTAAAAAACTTTTTTTTTTTTAAAAAAATAAAAATTTCTAAACACAACTAGTGTTTTCTGAAACTAATTATATAAATGGTTTTCAATTATTTCTACATTTTACTAAACAGAAAACAAAAATAATGCAAAAATGCTTGCAAAATGCATTTTTCTAATTTTTTTAATTTCAATTGCTTGAATAATGTAATAAATTAGGCTTAACATTGCATATACATTTTCTTCTACTAAATCAAATAACAAAATTAAAAATCATTAAAAAAACTTTAATAGCAATATCAAGGTTGGGGTTGAAAAGCAATGTTAGTTGAAATTCAAAAAAGTCATTTTTTTGTAGGCATGCGTGTGTGTGTGTGTGTGTGTGTGTGTGTGTGTGTGTGTGTGTGTGTGTGTGTGTGTGTGTGTGTGTGTGTGTAAACAAAGAAAACAGCATAAAACATGGTTTACCTGTGAGCAATTACATAAAGCAAAATAATCCAAAGAAAGAACCTTTGTTTTTTGCATTTTATGGCTCCAAGAAATATAAATGCAATACTAAATCCAAAAACAACAGGAAGACCTTCAAAAAAATACCAATAAAATGGGTGTGAACCATAAAACTGACTCATATCTTCAATTAAATTAAATTGTAAAAAGTTCCAGTGTGTTAAAACAAATTGTTTATAAAAGTAGAAATCAACACCTAACATTAACATCAACAATGCAGATGTAACAAATATCAAGTTAACTGCAATATTCTTTATTGAACGCTTGCTGTATATAGTTTCCCTTAATACTAAAGGAAACCAGATGATAACAGATGTTGGTCTAATAATGCAAGAAATACCTCCAAGTAATAAGCTTAAAAAAAAATTGCTTTTTGATGTACTTGCAAACAAATAAAATATTCCTAAAGTAGAAAAACACATTTCAGCAGTGTTTGAAAGAGTTCTTGAGCCTGTATAAATCAAAAACCATGAACAGATTTGATTGAAAAATGCTAGTGATGCAATTTTGTCTGATCCAAACAAATTGAATGCCGAGTAATAAACTGATAAATCGCAACAACTTGTGAGCAATGCTTGCATAACATGAGGGCCATAAACAATAAAGAAAAGAGAATCTATTGCAAAAAGCTTGATTGTTCGAAAATAGATCTCAAACAAAAATGGATAAAAATATGAACGAATTTTTTGCTTCCACTCCCAAGTTAAGTAGCCATATCCAAAAACATTATAATGGGCAACTTCAGTGCTTTGCCAATACTCATCTGGAACAAAAAATGTTCTTGTTAAAAATACTGAAAAAAGTCTAAGTGCAACTGATATGAACAACTTTTCTTTAGTTGACCAAGGTAAACCAACATTATCAGTCATATGGTTTTCATGATTTTTATTTTTCGTTTTTGTACTTCTATTCCTCATTGCAAAACTTTTTTTATTGCAAACATCATTCTCACACTAAAATATAACAATTGATATTATAAGAATAAATTTATCAATAACAACAATTATCTAACAAAAAAAGAAAAGAAACATCAAAACATAAATAAATACAGAAGTTTAGACATCTGAGACTATAACACTTAATTTCTTTCAAAACATAAAATTAGTTTTCTTGCTATTATAATATACAATTTTTATTTTAAGTATATGATGTTTAGTATTAATGAAATAATCACTAACCAAAAACCATTTTTATATGATTACTTCGCCTTCAATTTACTGGTGTTCTATTACTGGTTGTTAAATAAGCTTTAATTTTGATTGTTAAGTAATTTTTTTTGTGTGTGTGTTGTTTGTATGTGCCTTTTAAAATTTTTCATTTTTGAAAACATTAGTAATTACAAAAATTAAAACAACATAAAACAATAAAAAAATAGTTGTTTTAGCCTTCATGTTGTTGGGGAAATTTTTGGGAAAATAGTCTAACTAAATAAAGTTTTAACTGTTACCTAATTTAAAAAAATGGATTAATAATATAAGTGCCAACTACTTGCAAGCACCTCTTTTGAAAATGTTGAGATATAATTTACTTGACTCAAAAAATGCAAACATTAATTGAGCCAAGTTAACAGCCATTTCAAATCTGATTGAAATTCACATTTCAAGACTGATTGAAACCAAAAAGATATTAAATTTATTACAATTTTAATGATAGAAAATAATCTATATGGAAAAATAAAACATTAAAGTTTGTCAAAGTGAGCGTTTAATATAAAATACTGCCCAATGAATTTACAATTTAAATTAAAGTATTATAATTGAAAAAATATTTAACCATTCATATAAAAAACTGATACGGAAAAAAAAATTTAAATTAGAGGGGGGAAAGAGTATAAATTATACATAATTATAATATTAAAACAAATTTTAAAAAAATGCGTTATACTCTAAAATATTGTAAAATACAATCATTACCAAACTTTTTATTTAAATTTTATAATTCATAATGTTTCATTAAGTATGTTAATACTCTTACATCAAACCGATTTTAAAGTATTTATATATTTGATTACATCATAATAGAAAACACTTTTTATGATAGGAAAAATTGTATTGAATTGATATGTAAAATTGAATTTTAAAATATACAAAAACCTAATCTACATTTTTAAAAATTTTGTATAAAATAATTCATTATATCCATTGAGAAAACTATAAACAATGCAATGAACTCCGTTGTTAACTGAATTGTTTAAGACGACAGACAAAAAAATAACTACATTTTAAAATTATAAATTAAAATATGATCTCAAAATCATGAGTATTAATCTTTAAAAAATATTTTGTGTTTCCAGCTTAAAAAATATTTTATTGTGTTTACAGCTTAAAAAATATTTTATTGTGTTTACAGCTTAACACAGTTGCCTTGCAAAGAAAAACAGAGCTTCACTATCTCTTGACAGTTATTAAAATGAATAATAGGTAATATTGCTTTGCGTGATAGTAAATCAAGATACTCTAAAAGTACTGAAAGATTAGAAGTAACATTCCCATTTTCTAACACATCAAGCATCGCAGAACTATATTTAGAATGTAATGCTTGAAAATTCAAAACCTCCTTATCAGTAACACAACAACTGCTGTCAAAGCTGTAACATTTTGAACATTTTGAACATAAAAATGATGGCATTGCAGCAACAAGATCTTGGTATAATGGCCAGTCATTAGAACAAGCTTCACATTGACATGCAAAATAGTACTGTTCCATTAAATGAGATTGGCGAATAACTTTTGACTCAACTGCATAAAGAAACCCATAGTTATCTACAATTTCACTACCTTCTTTAATATGTTTTATAGCTCTTAAAACACAAGTATCGCCATAACAGTGACGAACAACTGATGGGTCACATGAATGATTCAATAAACTTAAAGTGGCATATACAGCAGATCCAATCTCTTTTAACTCAGAATCTTTATAGTTAGATGCTTTTAACTGAAGTTCAGAAACCTCATGAGCATTACAAGGAAGCATTTGAATATGTTTTAATAAATGAGCACAGACAATTTTTAAGTTTTCTGTTGAACAAAAGTTTGTTAAACATAATATTTTTCCAATATATATTGAAAGTAATGCTCGCCTAAACAAATCAGCAGGTTTACGCAGTTCACTATTACCTATTAAACTAAAAATAGAATTATAATCTGTTGAGCTATATGGCTTAAGGTCATCAAAAGAATTATTTTCTTTAAATGATAGTAACATGCTTATTCCAACATTAGTAATTATTTTAAATGCTAAATGTGCCAACCCAACGTCATCATTAATGAGAACACCAAGGTATTCACACTCAAAACAATGAAACTTTTCCCAAGACTCCTTTTCGCATGAAATGGAACAGTAATTTACAGTTGAACACAATCTACATGGATAGTTTATTTTAAATCTCGTTAAACAATGATAACAATGAGTATTGTAGCATTCAGGTAAACATAAAGATGCAAATGGCTTTTCTATGATAATTACTTCGCCAGCTTTTATATCTCTACTTGCTATTGCATGTCGACCTTTGCTATTTGTGCTGACAATTTTAAGTGCTTCAGAAGTACTTGGATAAATAGTATTTTTTTTTAATATTACAGGAGGTCTAACAACATAACAAAAGTTTTGAACATTTAAACAACTGTATGAGAAGTTTTCTTGACATCCTTTAACCATGTTAGAAATTGATTGAAGTTTTGTATTTTTTTGATCTTCAGTTAAGTCACTAACTTTAATACATTGAAGACACTCAGAGAGAGCTTCAGAGGCTTGTTCATAAAGTGAGAGTTCTAAGTAACATTTTCCTAATCTTTCATAAAGTTTGTACACTCGATCAGATGGATATTTATTAAGCAAAGCTGCATTAATGTCTGCTTGACATAAAGCATACTCTTTTTTTTCGAATAAAACAGCTGACCGATTACCGTAAGCTAAAGCAAGCTCTTGAGAACAACTTTCTGCTAATGATATACTTTCTGAATAACATTTCATTGAATCGACTAATTTTAGATTTGCAAATTGTTTATTTCCTAAGTTTCTAGCATTTTCACTTAACTTTTTACACTTCGGTTTAAATGACTTTAAAACTACAGTATCAAATATTTCTGGCTGTTTTAATAACAAAGATACACGACTAAAATCGTTCTTTTGTCCATTAAAATGATTTTCTAAATCTTTCATGCCTCCGTTTTGTATAACATCTTTGATATTGTTATACCAAGATATAAATGAGACTGCCATTTATTAAAAGTATAAAAAGTTTACAATATTTATAGCTTGTAAGTATTGTGTACTATGAGGTGAAAATAACCCATTAAACAAGTTTAAACTGTTACTTCTTTTATTTGCCTACGTTCGCATCGGCTTATTTGATGAGTCTAGCGATCATTAAAAGATTTGGATAGAGGAAATTTTACCAATTTTTACTTTTAACAATTTTAAGTTTAGCAATTTTTAATTTTATGTTATAGACCGGGAAATTTTTCTATATTATTTGCGCATACATACTTAGGCGTATTTCACGTAAGGTGAAATACGCCTAAGATGAAACATGGTAAATAGTAGCTGCCCTTGGGGTGGGGCATCAGTGGCGTCGCAGGGGTTGGTTTCACCTAGTGCGGTAAACTTTGGTATTATCCCTCTAGACTTTCTCTAATAAATTTCTAAAAGATAAAAGAAAGCTCCTGTAGAAAAAAATTGGGGAATACAAAATACAATTTTTTATCTTGAACTAAAGTAGAACTAAAGTAGTAAAGATATTTCGTCTGACTTATTTTTCCCGTGAACTTTGGGAAGTCAGACAAGAGACTTTAAATCATAAACCATGCAGAAAAATAGCTAATAAACATTTTTAATAACAAGGGTACTAAACTGCTTTTGTAATAGTAATACTAATAGTAATATATTTAAATAAATCTTTTTAGATAACATGACAAATAATTAAAAAACAAACAAACAAAGCCAACAAATTATACAAAAATTTATGGATTGTAAAGTATAAACTTTAGATAAAAAAAAAAGGACTTGTTATTTCATAGCTAGTAAGTTGATATCAAACTTGAGAAAAAGAGAAAAAAAGATTGCTTTCATTTAATTAAAATTTACGTCTATAACAAATAGTATCTAAAAAGTCAGTATTTGTAGTTGCTAAGCACGAATTAATTAATAAACGTGCAGCTCATCTTCAGTAAAAGTTGTACTCTTTGCAGCTATAGAAAAAAAATACTTGTTAATTTTATTCTTAAATGCGTTAACTAACGGAGCCTTTTTGCATGCTGACAGTAAGTTATTCCAATCATTGACAATACGATTTGTAAAAAAATTGTGATAAGCATTATGATATGAATTCACGCATTAGGACCTTGGAAGATGATCTGCAAATTAGTGGATTATGCCAATTGATAATGTCAAAACTGTTTTCTAGTTTAAACTGTTGGATCAAGCCACGTCTCTTGCGAGTTTCAAAAGTAGTAAAATTGAGACGTCGCGACGTCTAAATTTTAATTTCTGAAAGAATATTTCTGAAAGGTGTCGACGCGTCAACACCTTTTAGAATGAGGTAATCCTATTAAATCATGAGGTACTTTTGTTGCTTTGTGCTGAACTTTTTCAATTTCTCTGATGTCACCTTTTAAGTTAAAAAAAAGTTAAATGAAAATGTATGAATAAAAATAAATTTTATAATAATAATTTCGCGTTCAAAAGTTATGAACTTTTAAAAATGGTAATCCCCTCTTCAATTATGGCTAGCCATAATTTTATGCGCTAAGAGATTTTTATCTCTTAAAATACTTATATATTAAATATAAAGTGTTTTTTCACTCTTCTTATATTAACTTATATTCATCGATAAATTTTTAATTCCATACAATATATTGTATGAAATTAAAAGTTTATCGATGAATAAAAGTTTATTTGAGAATAGTAAAAAAGTATTTTATCAACTTATTTCTTTTACGTTTGGGGTAATTGTGACCGAAATTTAGGGCTTTTTTGTTCCCAGATTCCATGATTTAGGGCTTTTTTGTTCCCAGATGTTTAGAGTATGCTCTATTTCTGGAAGTGAGCTATCACAAACCTCAAAAAATACTGCATCCGTCCCTGGTAGTAAATTTTTGTTTAAAACTAAATTTTTCTATATGAGTTTTGATTTCTAAATTATTTTAAGTTTTTCCTTTTTAATTTTAAGTATATTATTCCGTGACTTTGACACGGACCAGACTTAAGAAAATGAAACAAATCAAAAAAGTTTCACTTGTTTTGTCCGCAGCAAAACGGCACTTGTTAACGAAATTCTACCTGTGCTGTCACCTGTCAGCTGATTGCTTATGTCATGGCATGCTATGACTCCAGACTCCTGAACTGTTTGCTGTGGTAGTAAAGTTCATTTCGTTTTTAAGACATGTAAAATTAGGAACACTTTTTAGCATTGTTTGATGTAGGTTGCAAATGTTTTGTCTAATACTGTATGTACAAACAGCAATTTTATTTGGACAATAGCAGCTCTGATAAGCACATATTTGCTACAACATTTGTTCTACTTGATTTTTCTTTTGCGAATACATTAATGTTTTTTGGCAAACCACCTAGTTCAATTCGGAGAAACCAAAAACCTTCAGGGTTTTTTTTCTTCTTCTTCTTGTTTTTTTCTTCTTCTTCTTGTTTTTGTGTGCCAATTAAACTACAGTTCAAAAAAGAAGAAAATTTTTTACGAGAAGAAAAAGAGTACAGAATCAAATAGCATCATTAAGAGATACAATAGTAAGTTTACCAAATGAGCAAAACAAACTAATTTAGCTTAGAGTTAAGCATAATCTGGTGCTTACCGTGATAGACGGCAAAGCTGCTAATGCCGTATGCGGTCAAAAATCTTCAACGTCATGCAACATTTTTTTGGCAACAACAAAACAAATGAAATCAATACTTTGCGAAAAAGAAAAAACTGTTAACAAAGGCAGTCTTCAGCTAGGTCTATCAAGTTTGCATGCCTGGATTCATTGTTTTGAATGCATACTTCATATTGCATATCGCCTTGATTTCAAGACTTGGCAAATTCGAGATCAAGACCATAAAATGTTGGCTTCAGATCGAAAACATCGCATTCAAATTAAATTTCGAAAACGTTTGGTTTTTCTTGTTGACATACCAAAAGAAGGTGGTGATGGTACAACTAATAATGGTAATACCTCGCGAAAAGCATTTCAAAATTACCAAATATTTAGCGAGATTACCGGGGTTGATGTCGAATTGATTCGACATCAACCCCGGTAATCTCGCTAAATATTTGGTAATTTTGAAACCGCTTCTATACTATATTGAATGTCATAAACTCTAATGTAAAGGTCAATTTTTCTGCATTTGAAGCCTACTGCAAAGCAATCTTTGAAAGGTATGTTGCTTTCTATAATTGTTTTTACATGCCAGGTTCAGCGCACAAACTGCTGGTCCACAGCGTTCAAGTTATGTCAAGTATTCATCTGCCAGGAGTGCTTGGATTTCGTGGAGTTTTATCATAAGATCCAGCTGAAAAAAGAATGTAAGAGTTTAAGAAATATAAAAATAAATATTCCAGAAAAATGAGCCGAGTATTGACAAACCGAGATATGCTAAATAAATGTTTGGAATCCATTATTTCAACAATAATTTAAAATAGTAACAAGGTAATGGCAAATAAACACAAACTCACAAGCGAAATGCTTTCACTAGTAGAGTTACCAGAAAATATTAAATTTGGAAAACAAAATGATTTGATAAGTGTTTGCGAATATGAAGACGAGAAAATACCAAACCAAATAAATAAAGAAGTTGAAGATAGTGATACAGACGAAGATAAGGAAAAAGAAGCATACAAAGAAGAAGAGACCGAAGAAGAAAGAGCTTTTTTAGCGAAATGTTTCAAGAATTTAAAAATAGTGATGTTGATTTACCTGATTACTATTATTAATAATATCAATAAACTAATATAATCTTTTTAGATAAGCAAATATTTTTATAAATTTTAATTTTATGTAAATTTAGAAATATTTTTTGTTTTTTTACTATAATCTTATTTAAGTTATATCTTTTCGTATAACTGCTCGGTGTAGTTAAGGCACTTTTAAAATAATAGAGCGTCTGTAAGATATTTTGTTGACTGCGACATTTTTCCGTTAAATGGTTTGGTCTGTGAATTATAAAAAGACGAAAAAACTTAAAATGATAAATTTTGCGGTATCATAAAATATAAATGTTTGTGGCGAAAAAATCCAGACCGATGATTCTTTTTTTTAAAAAAAATCATCTTAAAATCACAATCGCTCGTCCAAATTTAAATAAAATTTTATATTAACAGGTTTTTTAGGTGAAATGAACATTATAGTTTAATAATATGATCTGTTCTGATCGTTTATTGGCAATTTTCCATAATTATAAGCTCTTTCTTGGTCGGAATTCCAGTATTTTTTGTGAAAATTGATAGAAATATTGTGTTTTGACAATTATATATAGTTAATATACGTCAGAACCGATTAGAAGTAGTATGGATCAGTATTAAATTAAGAAACTTTTTCAAAAGATTTTAACTAAATTCATATTAATGCCGATGAGCGAAATTGATCTAAAGACTCCAAAATAGTGTTCTTTAGATACACTATTACGGGTAGTAAAACGGTTTTGAAAATTATATATAAAAAGAAAAGTTTCTTTAAATATTATAAAAACCTTAAGCAAAAAAAATTATAGCATTTAAAGATCTTGTTTGGACATAATATGCTGACAAAATCATGCTAATTCCAAATAAAAGTATTCCAATATTTTGTAAATCGCCTTAATTACACCGAGTGATTAAAAAAGAAAATTGTTTTTAAAAATCGATAACTGCATTAGGGATCGTCCATAAAGTACGTTCGCTTGGAGGGGAAGAGGGGTCTACAAATGGCGTATATGATATGGGTGGGCAGTGGATCAATAAAAGAAAGGAGACACTATATTAAAAAAATATCATAAAATGTTAGATAAATAGGTTAAAAACATAGTTACTTTTAGGGAGGTGGAGGGTACTCAAAAAAGCGTATTGCAAAGTGCGGAGGAGGGGGGGGGGAGGAGTGGCCGAAAAAAAAGCGTACGTACTTTATGGACGACCCTTTAAAATTACTCGTCATTTAAAGTTGTTATAAAATCTATAAAATTTATTATCTTTAAATGAATTTTTTTAAGACTGTCATATACCATTGGTAGTAAAGAAAAATTATTTTAAAAATGTTTCTGTCCCTCTAGCGCTATACATAAAACACATTAAAAAAATGCTTTTTTTTGAAAAATTTCAGGATAAAAAAACAATTTTGTGTATGAATTTAAAACCTAGCAACATAACATTGTTGGTGTTTATAAAAAATTTTAAATTTTTTGCATTTGTATACTTTTTAAACGAATTATATACTTTGAAAATATTAGAACATAAAAAAGGTTGCATATAAGTAGCTAAAAATTAATCATAATGCA